TTGAAGTGGGTTTTTCCATAGGAAAATATGAAGATTCTGTTTTGTGTGATGTGGTGCCTATGGAGGCTTGTCATTTACTTCTTGGGAGACCATGACAGTATGATAGGAGAGTTATGCATGATGGTTTCACTAATAAGTTCTCTTTTATGCATAAAGACCGCAAAACTACTCTTGCACCTTTGGTTCCAAGAGAAGTTAGTGAGGATCAACTGAAAATGAGAAAGAAAAGAAAAGAAGAAAGAAAAGAAAAAGAGAGAGAAAGAGAAAGAAAAAGAGAGTGAAAAGAAAAAGGAAAAAGAGGAAGAAAAAGAGAAAGAGAGAAAAAATCAAGTCTGTTTATAAAAGAAAAAGAAGTCAAAAGAGCTATGCAATTGAGAAAGCCAATACTTTTACTTTTGAGTAAAGAAAGTAAATCAAACAGTCCATGTTTTACTAACTCTCTTCCAAAAGAGGTTTCTTCTTTGTTGCAGGATTTTGAAGATGTTTTTCCCAAAGAAGTGCCTATAGGTCTACCCCTCTTAGGGGTATTGAGCATCAAATTGACCTTATTCCAGGAGCTTCATTGCCTAATAGACCAGACTTATCGAAGCAATCCCCAAGAAACCAAGGAGATTCAAAAACAAGTTGAAGACTTAATGCAAAAGGGGTGGGTTAAAGAAAGCTTGAGTCCATGTGCGGTCCGAGTCATTCTAGTCCCTAAGAAAGATGGAACTTGGAGGATGTGCACGATTGTAGAGCTATCAATAACATCACGGTAAAGTATAGACATCTCATTCCTAGGTTAGATGACTTGTTGGATGAATTATATGGTGCTTGTATCTTCTCTAAAATTGACTTGAAAAGTGGATATCATCAAATCGAAATTAGAGAAGGAGATGAGTGGAAAACGACTTTTAAAACTAAATATGGGTTGTATGAGTGGCTAGTTATGCCCTTTGGGTTAACTAATGCTCCAAGCACTTTTATGAGATTGATGAACCATGTCTTGAAAGAGTTTTTAGGCAAATGTGTAGTGATGTATTTTGATGATATTCTGATATATAGCACTAACTTTGATTTGCATGTTGAACATTTGCATGCTGTCATGAATGTGCTTAGGAAGGAAAAATTTTTTGCTAATCTTGAAAAATGTACCTTTTGCACTGATCATGTTGTGTTCTTGGGATTTGTTGTGAGTTCTAAAGGGGTACAAGTTGATGAGGAAGAGATTAGAGTCATCCAAGAGTGGCCTACCCCTAAGAATGTGAGTAAAGTGAGAAGTTTTCATGGGTTAGCTAGTTTCTATAGGAGGTTTGTTAAAGATTTTAGTACTTTGGCTGCACCTCTTAATGAAATAGTCAAAAAGCATGTTGGGTTTAAATGGGGTGAAAAACAAGAAAATGCATTTTCTGAACTTAAGCACAAACTATCTAATGCCCCCATTCTTGCATTACCAAATTTTGCAAAATCTTTTGAAATTGAATGTGATGCATCTAATGTGGATATTGGGGCTGTTTTGCTACAAGAAGGTCATCCAATTGCTTATTTTAGTGAGAAGTTGAATGGGGGTGCCCTAAACTATCTCACCTATGATAAGGAATTGTATGCCTTAGTGCGTGCTTTACAAACTTGGCAGCATTACCTTTTACCAAAAGAGTTTGTAATTCATAGTGATCATGAATCTTTGAAATACTTAAAGGGACAAGGTAAGTTAAACAAGAGGCATGTCAAATGGGTTGAGTTCTTGGAGCAATTTCCATATGTCATCAAGCATAAAAAGGGAAAAGGGAATGTAGTAGCTGATGAACTTTCTAGGAGATATGCATTACTTTCTATGCTTGAAACTAAATTGTTTGGTCTTGAATCTTTGAAAGACATGTATGTGAATGATGTGGATTTTGCTGAAACTTTTGCTGCATGTGAAAGGTTTTCTAAAAAAGGTTACTTTAGGCATAATGGATTCTTGTTTAAAGCAAATAAATTGTGTGTGCCTAAGTGTTCCATTAGAGAGTTGCTTGTGAGTGAATCACATGAAGGGGGTTTGATGGGTCATTTTGGAGTTCAAAAGACTTTAGAAATTTTGCAAGAGCATTTCTTCTGGCCTCATATGAAACGTGATGTGAATAAGTTTTGTGATCACTGCATTGTGTGTAAAAAGGCTAAATCTAAGGTTAAGCCTCATGGGTTGTATACTCCTTTACCTGTTCAGGAATATCCTTGGACTGACATTTCTATGGACTTTATTTTAGGGCTGCCTAAAACAAAGAATGGAAAGGATTCTGTGTTTGTTGTTGTTGATAGGTTTTCTAAGATGGCACATTTCATACCTTGCAAGAAGGTAGATGATGCTTATCATGTGGCTGATTTGTTTTTCAAGGAAGTAGTAAGGCTACATGGGTTGTCGAAGAGCATTGTGAGTGATAGGGATTCAAAATTCCTTAGTCACTTTTGGAGGACCTTGTGGGGTAAGATTGGTACTAAATTATTGTTTTCTATTACTTGTCACCCACAAACTGATGGTCAAACTGAGGTAGTCAACAGGACTTTAGACACATTGCTTAGGACTATTTTAAAGAAAAATCTTAAGACTTGGGAAACATGTTTACCTCATGTTGAGTTTGCTTATAATAGGGTTATCCATAGCACCACTAATTATTCACCATTTGAGATTGTGTATGGATTTAATCCTTTGACTCCTCTTAATTTGTTGCCTTTGCCTAACATTTCTATGTTTAAGCATAAGGAAGCACAGACTAAAGCAGAATATGTGAAGAAGCTACATGAGCAAGTAAAAAGCTCAAATTGAAAAGAAGAATGAGAGCCACGCGAGGCAAGCTAACAAGGGTAGGAAAAAGGTGGTGTTCCAACCTGGTGATTGGGTTTGGGTACACATGAGAAAGGAAAGGTTTCCTGAACAAAGAAAGTCTAAACTTCAACCTAGAGGAGATGGGTCATTCAAAGTCTTAGAGAAGATCAATGATAATGCTTATAAGATTGATCTACCCAAAGAGTATAATGTAAATTCTTCTTTTAATGTTGCTGACTTGACTCCTTTTGATGCAGGAGATGAATTCATAGATTTGAGGACAAATGCTGCCCAAGAAGGAGGGAATGATGTGGACATAAAGGCCCAAGCCCATAACGAGAAGGATCAAGATCAAATCCAAGACTTAGGTGGACCTATGACAAGAGGCAGACTCAGAAAAGCACAAGAGGCATTGCAATACAAAGTGACCAATTTGCTAAAGGCCCAACTATTAAAAGATCCAAACATGGAGGAGTCTAGACCTATCACATGCATAGAATGTTTGGAGAGCTAGGAGGCCCAACTAAAATATTTAGTTTTTATTATTATTTTATTTGCTACAGTGTGGATTTGAACCCAAGACCCAAAGCTTATAATGCCTTTACTGAACCATTTGGGTAACTTAACTTTGCTTGGGATATTAGGACTTTAATTTATCTTTATTTCCTGCAATGAGACAAACTCATAAACTTAAGTTGTATTAAACATTTGAGAATTCAAAATGAACATACGTAATATTCAGATTACTTTGTGAGTTGTTGCTCTGCTAGGGTTCTTCCTTGCATCACTTGATTTATCAAATATTCTGATTTGTGGCGCCTACGGTATTTTTTATGTTTTTCTGTTTTCTATTTCTAATCAAATCAATTCTTAAAATCTAACCCTAAATTGTTTCTCTTCCATTCGAGTGTCGTCAGGAAGTAAAGTTACCCGCATTGCACAGATTCATTTAACTGGGCACGTTTTGAAGTTGAGTGCGAAAGTGTCTGGCATATGGTGGAAACGGAACCCAGTTTGATGAAAGCAAAAAAATGTTGATGTCGTTCAATGAGCTTTACAATGTCCATTTTGTTCTATATTTTGTCTGGCTGTTGCCAAAAGTGTAACCAAATGGGCTCTTTATGATCCACGTATGTTCAACTATGCAAGCATATCTTTAATGTGACGGCAGCATGTTCTGACAAGTTCTTCTTAACAAAGGTGCGATGGAGAGGATCAACAAAATCTTCGCTAATGGGAAGGATCTTGATGCAACTTGCACAACACTACTGTTCATGTATATAATTTATTTATATGTTTGATAAGGAATTGAGAATAACATTGGGGCATGAGCTTTAGTGATGGGATTTTGACAATCAAGGCCTAAGTTAGTATTGCCCCCTTCCCCCATCTTGATAATATTTTTCTACTCAATTTGGCCAGAGTTACCCTTTTGTTTTTAGCAAGATATTTCCTAAGAAAGATGGATAAGAGACTTTAGGAGGACAAATTTACACCCGGAGAGACAGCTAAGGGAATAAAGTTCAGCAAAAACAAAAACAGTATAGCTTACGGGTTTAACCTCGACAACGAAATAATATGGTCTTGGTTTTAAGATTTTACAACTATCAATGTACCCAAACTGCAGAGTAGGTCTTGATTTTCAACTTGGGCTTGCACACTCTCAACTAAAGAACAAACACTCTAACTATTAATCTTCCCCAAGTACGATTTCGGTCATTACCGCATTCGCAAACATTAAGCCAACTTAGTCAATTTTTCTTTTATTTGTCACTAACCAAAACTACATTAAATAAGCCAAGTAGACCAAATTCTGAAAATTCTTGCATATGAATAGAGCGCAAAGTTTTATCGAAAATAAATTCATAGATAGCCCACAATAATTACAAGCTATGACATGTGTACGAATGCTCTTGAAACCATCTTTAAATTGCACATACCATTCTGATACAGGATAGAAGCATTACAAAGCTAACAACACCAACTTTCACCAAACCAGCAAAGATTTAAAAACTTAAACACTGCGGCCAACATATATTTTCGCCAATCACATGAAAGAGTCCTTCAAATTGCAGAGATGTCCTATAACTCCAAGTCACATACCACATATAACAATATAATAAGAACACCAATAAAATGTGAAGGAAACTCGGATCATTTCATGATGAAATTGTGCATAACTTCATCTGACGGTATGAAACTTCGACTTCAAATCTTAGATCTTATCAAGCTTCTCAGCCTTGACGACGGGGTTTGCTTTAGCTATGGCATCCCGAGCAGCAGTGCGGTAATCAAACGGGCAATTATGCTTGTCTGAGTAGCGATGTACAGCACAAAAAAGGTTGCCACATCGACAATTAAACCCTGTCAAACCAACTCGCTTATTGCAGCTGCTGCAACGTTTTGGACCATCCTTCGGCTTTGCCTCCCCACTCCCCTCTGAAACTGAACCAAATAAAGGTTGCACAGAGACAGTTTTAGGCTCTACTGAAATAACTGGGATATCAACATTAGCAGCAGCGACAACAGGTTCATTTTCAGTGCTGCTAGATGAGCCATTCATAATATTCCCAATGGACGACGCTGCAAGCTTGGCCTGCTCCTGTTTCAGCAACATGTCTTTGTGGCATTTAGAACACATGTTCATAGTAGCTGCACTTCCAAAAAACCCACAGTTGTTGATGCACAATACAGGACCTTCAGGAGGAGCTTGGCACCCAGTCTTGTCATGGTCCATCTTTTCCAACTTTCCTGCATCGAATATATTCAAAATACAGAACGTCTAAGATTACATCATTAATTTCATAATAAACAAACAGCCACAGCAGAGACAACCCAGAACAAAACTACGACTATTACCCAACCTATGTAAGGCAACAATATAGCACCCTTTTCCCAGAGAAAAATATTGATGACACAATCTTTTCAGCACACCCATGCAGTTAAACGAGAAATAACAGAATATTGCATCGTTCCTCTTTAAGCATGAATATGCCAGTTAGCATAAACAGCAGAATCACAGCTTCAAAATGTATTTGTAGAAAAATTGAACCCGTAAAAATGGGCAAAAAAGCCAAGTTAAGACCCATGATATTGTCAACTTCTCAAGCATAAACTGAAAATAAATCACAAGCCAGGCAGCAACGTTATCAAACATTATTTGATTGGGAGCTTTCAGAATCTTGCACACAATGCCTTCCTAAAATATAACAAAAACAATTTATAACAATCAAACCACCCTATCCATAGCCATAAAAAAGTTACAGAACTAATTCAATTTTAACCAATTAGAGATTAAACGTTGGCACAACATGCAGCGGTAAAAGTCTTACTGCATATCCATTTCAATTAAAATGTAACATACACAATGTGAAAGATATGGTGTACTGTCGTATATATTCTCAACTATAAATTTATTTCACTCCTGGTTAAAAGATAAAGATAGTTGAAGATGCCTAAGTTGTAATGCGATAGCAGTGAGAAGTAGGGCGGTCCTTTTCAGCAGCTAGCTCTGTTTCCAGCATTGTTAGATAGATTTTTTTTCGAACATGCATACTAAATCCCTCAGTTCAACTAGTGTTCAATACCAGCTCAGTCAGCACATCCTTATATATATTAAGGAGAATAGAATACGAATTATTTTGACCCAACATGAAAATCTTTTACCTCAAACCCATCACAACAAAGATCGAATCATTTAACAAAAATTCAGAAAATATTATTGAACCATACATCATCTAGCTATTTAACCAACAATAAAACAACTTTAACCAGAACTTCATAAACGTGAACAGAGGAAAAACAAACCCCAAAGCCCCAATTATTAGGAACAGAAGCCACAGCCGGAAAAGTAATACACGCCAATCACATGAAATACGCAGAATTCAATCAACATACTATTCAAACTTAACACTAAAATTCTAATAAATTGAATGAAAATTCAATAAGGCATAGCCATGGCATACGAGAAAAAAATGACCCCCTACGTCTCTATTCACCGTCCATATCAGCAAATTACAACCAACAATTTCCACCACCAAACTAATCTCAAATTCCTTCACACGATAAAAAAAACAAAACAAAACAATAAAAGCGAGACGAAATCGTCACGAGCGAATCGACAGAGAGACACGTCGCCAAAGTGAAAATTGCGAGAGAAATAAACAAAAAAAGTAAAAATAATCTAACCTGTTGGCCAGAGGAAGAATTTTTTACAAAAGAATCTGGGAAACGAAACTTTGTCGTGGATCTAACAAGCTCAGAATCGCATCGGAAATAAATCCTGGATTCACAGAATGAAAAAAAAAAAAACACCAAACAAAAAAAATGGTTAATAATCGAATAAGATAGCAGATTAAAGAGGAAACAAAAATTGAGAAGGAGATAAGGGGAACGGAACCCTAACCCTAGTGGAATTGGGATCGTGGAGGTGGAGAGAGAAATCAAAGCCGAAGGATAGAGAGAGAAAGAGAGAGAGGGGATGCGTCGTTTGTGTGTGTCAGTGTTTGGTATTTAAAAGGGCCTTTTGTTGCTTCTCTCTCTGTGTGTACCAACGAACTCCGTTTACTGAGAATTGAGGCGACGTGGGAAGTTACTATTGGCTGCGCGTGTTACTCTGACATTCCCTATTTTGTCCCTTTCTCATTTACTATTAACACTTTTGCCAGCTTCCCAATTTTTTATTTAATTCTTTTCTTTTAACCTCCCTGTGACTCACAGTCACCACGCCACGTTTCAATATCAGTATTACCTTAATTAATCAATAATATTTTATTTTGTACAATATCTTTTTTAATTTTCATTTTTAAAGAAAATACCTTTATTTTTTTAACTATTTTTAGTAGCAAATATATTATTTCATATTTTTTTACATCCTTTATCTTTTTTAATTTATTATTTTTTAATTCTAACTTGAATTTTGATATCTATAGGACAAATTATTCATAGTTAAAAGTAACATTATAATATCAATTATTTTTCATAAATAAAAAATAAAATCATAAGTTAAAAGGTTTTTTACAATTTTATATATAATACAATTTATATAATTTAAATTATTTATTTAAAAATTTTAATTATATCAATACAATTTTAGTCTAGAATAGTAATTTTAGTCTTGAAAATGTAATTGTTTGATCTTAACCACAATATCATAGATATTTAAAATTGTAAAAGATATACCATCACTTTTGTTTATAAAAAATAAATCATTGCTTTATTAAAATGAAAATTAACCCATATCGCATTTTATGGATAGTTTTAAATTTTAATCAATCTATTTTGAAGAAACTTTTTTTTTTCAAATTTTAAGTTATATTAAACATTCTAAAAATGCTCTGAAGGCTTACATTGTTTTTGTTCAAAAATTCAAACGTTTATATAAATTGTTTTTTTTTAAATCATTCATTCTGGTTAATTAGTTTAAAACTAATTTTTAATATTTTATTTGATTTTGACATATTTTATTTGATTATCTGAAAATATTAATCTAATTAGGTATAGATGTTATTAGTTTTTAGATTATGTTTATTTTTATTTTGATAATTGGATAATCTTATTTATTTTCTTTAGATTATTTACAAAATATTGAGGCCTTGCTATCATTAAAAAAAATATAAATATTATTTGAATTAACCTAAATTTTAACAACTTAATCTTAAATTTTTTTCATTATTTTTAGTATTTCTATTAAAAATTTTGAGTTAGAATAATTTATTTTTCAAGTTAAATAATATATTTATAGATTTTTAATCACACATATTCAACAAATTTAAATAAGATGAAGAAGATAAAATAAAAACATTTCATATTATATATATACACACACGTAAAGAAACTGAAGGATTAATAATTTGAAAAAAATGATATTGTGAACCTTATAAGTAAGAAGATGAGTTTATTTTATTTTTCAATGAGGATTTTGATTGGCCAGGAGCGGAAATATCAATGAGGTAGGAGCAGGTCATTTTCAAGAACAAAAAGTTACAAGCATTGATATGTTGTTATTTTATTTTTCAAAGTAACCTCTGAAAACAAAGGAGATCACTACCTCATTGGTCTTTTCTGATCATACATACCTACATGGAATTGGCAAAAAATAAAACACGTTATTCGAATCTTCTGTGTTATTAATTTTTTGTTGACCAACTATGTAATGGGAAGATATTTCTTTGTCGCCACGTCAATATCAGGGAGATATTTAACCGACTTAAATCCTGTGTATAAACTTACCTAAACTCATCTCTAACTACAAGTTATTAATTTTATTTAATTTTAGATTAAATTACTTTTTAAGCATAATTTAAATAAAATTAATATTCAAAATATATTAATTTAAATTAATTATAGGATAAAATATAAATTAAAATAATATTATTTTAAATAAATAATTTTATATATCATAAATCTGTAAATTTAAATTTAAAACAAATTTTTAATGATTAATATTTTTATTAATAATTTTATTTTAATTAATTACTTATTCTAAAATAAATTTACTTGAAAATTATTAGCAAATAATTAATAAGTAAGTAAATAAAATACAAATAATAATATATATAAATATTCATTTAAAATATTTAGTATCATCCCTGTATACACATGTCTTATAATGTCACACAACACCGTATACAATAATCAATTTAGTGATTAATTTAACTGTATGATTTTTATGGTTAATTACATGTTAATAGTTTAAATATGTTTTTAAACTGAATGAGTTTTAATTTTGATTTTATATTTTACTTTTTTTTCACTTTAAAATTGATAATTATTTTTTTAATATTATATAAAACTAATTAACTATTTATCTGTTAAAATAAAAATAAAAAAATGTCAATCAACCATTCTAAGTAACACATTTTAGATTTAATATATAATATTAATTAGATTTGAAATTGATTTGATAACTCAAAATCATCCTACAAGTTTAAAAATTGACAAAAAGGATTTTCTTTTTTGTTAACTTTTGGATTTTATGTTGTATCTATTAAATTTATTATATTTAGATATAATTTTATATATTTAAATTTATTTAACAATTAAATGTAATTTTTTTACAGTTTAATTGTGTTTTAATTACATATTTAATAATATCAATTTTGTATTATAATTTTTAAATATAATATTATATAATTTATGTATAAATATGAAACAAATGAATTTACAAATATAATCACAAATTAAAACAACACAAAACATGTTTTCAATTGATATTTTTCATTGTAAAAATTATTATAATTTAAAAATAAATATATTTTATAATTTTTCTATAAAATCATGAAATATTTATATATTTTTTAAACATATATACATTTTTATAGAATATTTAACTATGATCTGATAATAAAAAAGAAAAATTCATCGAAATTAAATATCAGAACATTCGTTTTACATGAATTTTGTATTAAATTGAAATTGAACAAAATTAAACTACATATGATTTTTTAGATTTTGTTCACATGACTATTAATTGAAAATCACACTATATTGAATTAAACATGTCTAATATAAGTATGTTATACCTAAAAAAAATATTAAAAATAATAAAAAAGTGTATATATATATATATATATATATATATAATTTTAAAATAAATATTAAGACTGGAAATAATAATTTATTTTTTATAATAAAAAGTAAAGAATATATTTTTTACAAAAATTAAAAACAATATTTACATATTTTATAAACTAAAAACATCAATTTTAAATTTTAAAAATAATGTTTATTTTATTTTTAAAACATCAATTTTAAATGTTAGTGACATAGGATTTTATTTTTTTCTAAATTAAAAATTAAAATTAATTTATTTCTTTTAGATTTAAAATAAGGTCAAGATATTAAGGTGATGTTTATTGTGACAAAATAAGAATAATAAGGAAGATGATGCATAGAAAGTGGGTGGCTATTATTATAATAAGAATAGTAAAAAAAATAAAAAAATGGCTTAGTCCCTAATTTTGGGCTATCACATGTAGGATGGCAAAACGGGTCAGGCCCGGCGGGCCAGCCCGCCAGCCCGCCATAATATGGCGGGGTGGGTTGGTGTTTTCACCCACCAGTCCGCTTTGGCCGTCTCGCTAACCTGCCGGGCTAGCTAACCCACAGGATGGGCGGGCTAGCCCGCGACCCGCCTAATTAATAAAAAAAATAATTTTTACTGTAATAAAAATTAATTATAAAGATAATAAATAAAGTTAAAAAATTTTAAAAAAGAATTAAAAAAGTTTCACTCTCACATGAAATATTTTCATTACTCGAAACACAACTTTCTCTCATGTTCTCCTTGTTCATCTTAAACACTGATTATTTTTATTCTTATGACTTAAATTAAAGGTGTAAGAATTACTCAACCAAGAATAATGTGAAGTTTTATCAAATAAAAAAGATATAGGTATTTAAATATTTCAATATAAAAAATATAAATTTTATAAGTTTTAACGTTATATATATATATATATTTGTTATTATTTATTATTATGTAATTTTTATTATTGTTCTAAATTATAATTTCTTAAAATAATATATTGATTTATATTATTAAATTGAAATAATATATATATATATATATTAAATTATTGACAAACAAATAATAATCTTATTATTAAATTTATTAAAAAAATTATTTTAAAAAATAAATTATTTTTTTCTAAATTATGGCGGGTCACCGCACAGCCGCTAACCCGCCCCTTGGCGGAGTGAGCCAAGGTCTACAGCCAGTCATGACTATATCGGGCAGCCCTCCGCCCGCTTTTGGCGGGCCAAAGCGGACGGGCCAAAACTAGGCGGCTGACCCGTTTTGTCATCTCTAATCACGTGTGAGTCCTACTAGATAAACTGATGCGTTATAATTATATGTAATAAAGATCTTAATCTATATCTCAAAAAAAATTAATAGATTAGTCGCCCAAATTATATATATATATATATATATATATATATATATATATATATATAGAATATATGATTAATTATATAAATATTTTTAAATTTTTATTTATTATTAATATTTTTATTAGATAAATTAAAAAAATAGTTATTAAAATATTTAATTATAATTAATAATTTAATAATTAATTAATCTTTATAATTTAAATTATAATATTATAATAATTTATATGTTTTAATAATATAAAAAATATATAATATTTTAATTTTAATATATAATATATAATATTTTAATTATATATTATGTTTAAAATCTCAGTTAAAATCCAATACTGAAAATACTCTTACATTATCTTCGATAATATCTTCTCATAAAATTTTATTTTTTCTTAAATAAGTTTCATCATTTTAAAAGTCTTTTTAAAATTTTACTTTAATAATAAGGTATTATAAGACACATATATTTATAATTTCTATTTGCACTTCATTTTTTCTACCACTTAAAATAATTTAATTATTAAATGATAAATAATATTTACACTTTTATTACTCATATATATTTTTATAGTTTTATATTTATATAGTTATTTAATTGAAAAATATTTGTCTTATTTAAAAGATTTATGAATTTATACCATATTCAATTTTTTATTTTGAATAGACCTTACCTGATTTGATTTATCAACTTAATTAGACTTTACTTGGTGTAGTATGACCCAATATTTTGTATTTTTAAAATAAAATAAAAATTAATTAATATCCAACTCAAATCTAATTAATGAAATTTTTTAAAATCCAAAATTATAAAATTGAAAATAACTTAAAATAATTTGAATTTGAATAATTATAAATTTCATTTGTTTATTTAGATTTTTTTTCATCCATAATCACGTTAATATATTCTCATAAAATATAGATCTTAAATTTAAACACTCCCTACAACTCTTGCATTTGCATTTGATAAGTAAGAGTGTGTATTTATGTGTTCCTTAACCCTATAAATTAACTTATATTAATGTGAAGGTAGTTAATTTTAAAAGTATTTTATTTAAGATAAAATCGATGTTTAAAACGAAAAATATATTAAATATGGTGATTAATGCTAATTGTTATTATTTAGATTGAGAAGAATGTTTGAGCTTCCTTGAGTTTCTAGAGTACACTATTAAAAAATTACTTATTTTTTTATTTTCTTGTAACAAACTGTTGAAATTTGTAAGAAACATATTTTTTGTCATTTTTATAAAAAAATTGTAAAAATATTCTGATGAAATATAAGAATTTTTTATAGTGGAAAATGGAGAAACAAAGGGGATTACCCCAAAAAATTTATCTGATGTTTAAGTTAGCATAGGAATGAATTAAGTTGGAAGATAAACTATGAGTAAGGAGAGATATATATAACTTTTTTTATGTTGTTGGAATATCTCGAACATTTATGCTATACTCCTATTTCTGAGATCAATATATAGACTAACGGTATTACGTTAAGAAACTTAAAACCGTAATATTTTATTGATTTTGATGTTATTTTAATTTAAGAATGTTTTTATCTTATTTTATTTATTTATTGTTATGGAACACTTTTATACCTTATTTTAATTATATATAATAAACATTATTATGTAAAATAAGTTATTATTATTTTAAAAATATTTTATAATATTAATTGTCTAACTATTAGCTTAAAATTTAGCTTGTCAATTTTAATGAGAATTTAGATTATAGTTTGTGTTTTTTATATATTCCTAATCAATAGAAAGACAAATCACTGATAAATTTTTATATAGTATCAAATTAACTTACCTATCTCTCTTTCTGAAAAACCTAGTTGTCACTGTTCATCTTTTAGAAGCATTTTGTTTCCTCTTTCTTCCATAATTGTTCATTTATGATAGACAACTCCAAGTTTCATTCTGTCTTAGTTGTCACCAATGTGAAATATCTCATTTCAATCACTTTGGACATGGAAATCAATCAATATCACTCATGAGTAATCTTATTTAAGGTTTAAGCTAGTTCATTCTGTACTTGAACACATCATCCCTCTCACGGAGGTCGCTGCCATAACGATATACCAAATAGCCAAGGTCGTTGATATTCCTTCATGAAATCGTCTTGATGTTGTTGTTCTTTAATGGATTTATGCTATTATATCTCCTGGTATTCTTAGATCGATCTTTATGATTGATGATTCGATTGGTAAAACTTGGCAGCGTGTAGCTGACTTATTTCAAGATAACAAAAACACTAGGGTAGTATATCTTGAAACTCAAGTCACGAACACAAACTTAGTAGATTTCTCCACAATCTCTGCATATTGCAATCGACTCAAATATCTTGTTGACTAATTATACAATGTTTTGGCTCCTGTTTTAGATCAACGTTTAGTGCTCTGTTTGCTCGCTGCTTAGCCGAAGCATATGTTGGTTTTGTCACAGTTATGCAATAAAAAGATAACTTGTCAAGTTTTACTATAACATGTTCTTGATTGAAATTAGAAGAGACCACGATTAAGGAGTGAACAACTCGTGAATCGGGTTCCTCCGCATTCTTAACCGTGGATGAAAGCTCCAATTAATTCCCAGAGTCATCATAATACTAATCGTGGCATGAAAACCAACCAAGACAAATGCAACAACACCTGTAGTGGCAGAGGCGGACGTGGCAGTGGTGGGCGTGCAGGTGTTAGAAAAAATGGTACACCATAATAGTTGCCGTAGTACTCGTAGTATCAAGTCTTCCCACCATATCAATATCCCTTCCTTAATCCTTAGATTGGATGGACCTAACCTCCATGCTCTTATCTTGTAGCTCGTGATAACATAGATCTCCATGCCAAACAGGTGTTCTTAGACTGCGACATTCACAACAAGCTTTCAACACATCAGTAGCACCATCTAATGTTGGGAACACACCTATGGACATGTCATGCATACTTTTGCAATCAATCAAATGGATGGGAATTGATATATGGACACAAGTGCTACCTCTATTATGACGACAGATCAAGGTACACTCTCATCTTATTTTGATTCAAGCAAGGATCACAATATTGTTGTTGGTAATGGTCATTTGATTCCTATTTGTGGTCATGGAAGAACTACATTATCCTCACCCCACCCTCTTTAAACCTAAACAATGTGTTACATGCACCAAAACTCATAAAAACCTCATATTTGTTCATAAATTTATCACTAATAATCTGGTTTCTGTTGAATTTGATCCTTTTGGGTTTTCAATGAAGGATTTGCATATGGGGAACCATCTAATGAGATGTAACAACTTTGGAGATCTCTACCTCATCCGTCCCAACTATAAGACAATCTCTCACCAACACTTCCTTCAATATTCACTAGTGCAGAATGGACTTTTTACGTCACCTATAAGATTAACGTTAAAATGGGAGACGTAAATTTATGTCGGTCCCTTTGACTGACGTAAATTTACGTCAGTTATCGAGACCCAACGTTAATTTACGTTGCATATATCACTAAACAGATGTAAAAGTCTTCAAAAATTTAAAAAATTGGACGAAATTTACGTCACACATACACATATGCGACGTAAATTTACGTTACACATACACATGCACGACGTAAATTTACATCACACATACACATGTGCGACGTAAATTTATGTCGCATATGTGTATGTGCGACGTAAATTTCGTCCTTTTTTTTAATATTGGATTTATTTTGTCTTACAACCAAAATCTTGAAACATATATCGTAACCAAACAGTCCAGAGATTCAAGTTTCTTTAGCTAGTAAATAAAAAATATAATATTATATATCATTCAAACTACAAAAGTTAAATTAATACATCATGATAATACAAAAATTAGGCTACCTAAACTACATAATTAATAAAATAATATAATATAAACAATAACCTATAAACTAAAAGCTATTACAAACTAAAAGTTAGTACAAACTAAACTAGCTAAACTACATAATACACACAATATAATACCAATAATAACCTACAAACTAAGTACTTGAATTGTTGAACGAAAATTTTTATCCATTGTTCTCTAATTTGTGTGATATCATATTCTGGCAATGGAGATGGATCTTGAAATACCTGAAACATTAATTTAACTCTTGTAAACACGCAACACGCATAAAGTTAAATAAACTTAACTAATGTTGAAAGCAATTACCTCCGTCCAAGAATAAGTTATACTCGCACAAACTATGACTCTCATCCAATACATGACATAGTAACCACATTCAAATACCTGGAATATCAATTTGACTCCTGTTAACATGCAATACACACAAAAGTAAATAAACTTAATAAATGTTGAAAGTAATTACCTCTGTCGAAGAATTATTTATACATGCACAAACTTTTGTGTATTACATATGCTTAGGAGCATATTTTGAAAAAACTGTTGGGACAAATCATCTTCAAAATTTTGCGTCCTCTTCTTCACCTTTTTCTCTTTGTTTTGATATGTTGTGCGTCCAAATATGATATCTCAGTCAAAAGTTATCTTACTTTGAAAATTTTCCTTATCATAAAACCCTAAACCTAAACTCCCAATATATTATATTTATGTACTTGTAATATACAAATTACAACAACAAAAAAGTATGATTTAAACACATAAACGGATAATCACAATTCTGTTGAGATATTCATGTAATAACGTGATTAAGATCCCCAAAAACAATCATGGATTCAATTTGAACATATAACAGGAGACATAGAACACTAACCTCGAGTATACACGAAAACGATTTAAAACTCGAATCTAATCGGGGAGAAACGTCAAATTCGAAAAATGGGACACAATGTTGATGTTTTTCACAGTCAAAACGGTAAAAAATGGTGTGGAAAGGGTCGTTGTTCTCGTCATTGTTTTAAAAAATCTTTACTGCGCGAGACGATGAGTGACGTTGAAACAGAATAAAACCAAATTTTTATGTCGCACCTAAAAGGAGACGACGTAAAAAACCTCTTTTACGTCGCACCAACAAGGGTGTGACGTAAAAGAGGTATTTTACATCACATCCTTTTGGGTGTAACGTAAAATTGGACCAGTTTTTACGTCACACTCAAAAGGATGTGACGTAAAAGACCCTTTTTACATCACATTCTTATTGGTGCGACGTAAAAGAGGCATTTTATGTCACCTCCTTTTAAGTGCGCGACATAAAAGTCCTGCCTCATATTTATAAAATTGTCATCGCATTTTTTTTAAGTTGAATATTTTTTTATGCGACGAGAATTGGGTGACATAAAAAACCCTTTTTGTAATAGTGATTTACAACTTTGTTTTCCCCTTTGTGGCACAATCATTTAGGTAATCCCAAAACTACTATTCTAAACTCTCTTTGTCATCAAAATTTCATAAATTGTAATAAAGACATTCATGATTTTTGCACTTCTTGTCCTCTTGATAAACATGTGAAATTATCATTTAATATCTCTTGTTCTTTTACTGAATTACCTTTGATATTGTTCATTGTCATATTTAGACATCACCCATATTTAGCTCTTCCTGGTCACAAATTTATTCCATTTTTCAATCTTTTCAAAATTCAATTAAAACCAAAAGTCATTAAAATTTCATAAATTATGATAAAGACAGTCATGGTTTTTTTTTTTTTTGTAAACATGTGAAATTATCATTTAATATCTCTTATTCTTTTACTGAATTACCCTTTGATATTATTCAGAGTGATATTTAGACATCACCTATATTTAGCTCTTCTTGTCACAAATTTATTCCATTTTTTAATCTTTCCAAAATTCAATTATAACCCAATTTGAAAGAAACATTAAAAATCTATAATGAGATAATGAAAAGGAATTTGCTAATGGTTCATTTAAAAAAATTTGTAAACAAAGTGGAATGCAATTTAGGTTATGTTACCCTCACACATCTTCTCAAAATGACAACATTATTCTCACCTTATTAATACACTTATCCATATTAGTTTCTTTTTGGGACCATGTTGTATAAATGACCACTTATCTATCAAACATTCTCCGTAACCAAAATTATAGAATATCATTCCCGATACAAATCCTCTATCATAAAAATCTAATATTTCTCATCTTCATATCTTTGGTTGTCTTTACTACTAAACATTTTAGGTCAAAGATGCATTAATCATAACTTTTACACAAATTTTCAATGATTAATATTTTTTATTAATAATTTTATTTTAATTACTTATTCTAAAATAAATTTACTTGAAAATTATTAGCAAATAATTAATAAATAAGTAAATAAAATACATATAATAATATATATAAATATTCATTTAAAATATTTGTTTTATGATGTCATCCCTCTGTACACGTGTTTTATAATGTCACACAACATCGTATACAATAATAAATTTAACTGATTGAGTTGTATGCTTAATTACATATTAATAGTTAAAATATGTTTTTAAACTGAATGGTTTTTAATTTTGATTTTATTTATTACTTTTTTTCACTTTAAACTTGAAAATTATTTTTATAATATCATATAAAACTAATTAACTATTTATGTGTTAAAATAAAAAAATTGTCAATCAACCATTCTAAGTAACACATTTTAGATTTAATATATAATATTAATTAGATTTGAAATTGATTTGATAACTCAAAATCATTCTACAAGTTTAAAAATTGACAAAAAGGATTTTTTTTGTTAACTTTTGGATTTAATGTTTCATCTATTAAATTTATTATATTTAAATATAATTTTTTTTTATTTTACAGTTTAATTGTGTTTTAATTACATATTTAATAATAGCAATTTTGTATTATAATTTATGTATAAATATGAAACAAATGAATTTATAAATATAATCACAAATTAAAACAACACAAAACATGTTTCCAATTGATAGTTTTCATTGTAAAATTGTTATAATTTTAAAAGAAATATATTTTATAATTTTTCTATAAAATCATAAAATATTTATATTTTTAAAAAAATATTATACATTTTTTTAGAATATTTAATTGTGATCTTATAGTAAACAAAAATCATTGAAAATAAATATCAGAACATTAGTTTAACATCGAAAAAAATCATAATGTTTTTTTTAAATCAATTTTAAATTTTTGTCACATAGGATTTTATTTTGTTCTAAGTCAAAACTAATGTTTTTTTAATTAAAATAATGTTAATTTATTTCTTTTAGATTAAAAATAAGATCAAGTTACTATTGAAGGGTGATTATTGTAAAAAAAAATAGAATAATAAGGGAGATGACGCGTGATGGCTATTTTTTTTATTATAATAATAATAATAAAAAAAAACAACTTGGTTACATCTAATTTTCATGCCTATAATTAGACGTGACAAAGATCTTATTATATTAAACAGAATATTAATACATTATCGCTCAAATCTTTTTTATATATATTTTTAAAATACATGTATAATTATTTAAATATTTTCAATTCTTTATTTATTAATTAATATTTATAATAGATAATTAAAAAATAATATTTAAAATATTTATTTATAATATTATAATAATTTATATATTTTAATAATATAAAAAATATATATAGTATATAATATTTTATTTATAGTATTAATATATAAATAATTTAAAAAAAAATTAACCTACGGACTAATTCATCGTACCATTAGATTGACCGACTTAACAAAATAAATTAAACTAGATTAAATTTATTAAATTAAAATAAATTGATGAATTAAAACTATCATACTCACCTCTCAATTATAGAATCGATAAATTAAATTTGGTCAGTTTAGTCTTTCCTTACTAATAACAATAAAAATAAATAAAATTTAATTATAATAATAATTATGATGAAAAATCAAATGAGAGCACTGTTAAAGTTAATAATCATTTCATCCTATTCTAGCTCAAGATAAAACATTTAATTACATAATATGATAAATAGGGTAAAATGAATTTTAGTTTTTTTTTTATATTTGTGGGTAAAATATATTTTTTCATCCTGGTAAAATGTTATATTTATTAAAATAATCCCAACAATTGGTTTTGTAATTATAGTGTAAAATTTAAACATTATTTGAACTTCCTTATAAATTTGCTCACATAGCAAATAAAGATAGTGACTTAACATGATTGTTTAAAATTTATTTTGGTAACATAATTTTTTTGGTTCATGTATAGGCTTATTTCTTAAAGCAGTCAATCATTTTGTCCGTATCAGTTTAACTATCTCCATTTATCATGTTAACAACATTTTAATAGTGTTCAAAAGTTAAAAAAATTATATTTATATTTTTTTTAAATAGCTAATAGAAAAAAAAATACTATTTTAACAAATATGAAATTTTAGTAAGACAGAAACCTTTTCTTCTCTTACAATTTATCACTTTGAAGACTCTGGCATTCTTGGAAAAAGATTCATGACATTGGAGATCTCTGTTTTTCCATTAAAGTGTGTTTACTTCAAGGGTAAGATTTTAATCAGAGAAATGAAGAGAGAAATGTGTCTGGATCAATTTTGTTTGTATTAATTGATCTATGTGAAAATAAATGAGATAAATTGATGAAATGACTAAATAGTATTTTCATTCTAAAAAAGTTGATAAAAAAATTATATTTTTATTATAATTCTTTCTAACTTTTTTTTCATATAACCAATATAATAAATATAAATTAAATTATAATTTTTTATTATTATATATTATTTTTAATATAAATTTATGTTAATTAAATTATATATTATAAACAAAATATATACGTCATACAATTTTAACTATCATAAAATTTTCAAAACAGGAATACATAAATTTATATAATGGACGATAGATTATAAAATAAATAATCGATTATATTAAAAAATATTATTATATATACAAAAATTAATATTGATAATATATATTTATATTTATACGTGATTTTATAATTTTTTATTATAATAAAATTAAAGTTATATTTTAATATAACTTTTTAAATTATGTTATTGATATTATTTTTTATTATATTTTTTTATTATATTTTAATTTTGTAATTAGGACTTAAAATAATTTTTATACATAATTTTTAATTAATAATTTTTAAAATTTATTTTTTAAAAATTAATTACTTTAAAAATAATTATTTTTTATAAAATAATTTATTTTTATTTTTATTAAATTTAAAGTAAGAATATTTTAGTAATTTAATAAATTATTTTATTAATATACTATTATTATTATTTCAATCAATCAATCAAATTATTTTTCTACAAATATTTAATAAAAAAATAAATATTTGTAGAAAATATCCAAATATATTTTTATATAAATTTTTTATTATTATTTCAAAATTTTATGTATAAATAAATAAATAAATTTATATTTATTTTATCTCTTATTAATATAAAGATATTTTGATCATTATATATTTTATATTATTATTTCAATTTTTTTATTCAATCACATCAATTCTATTTTCTATCATTTTTTACTCGCTTCTCTTTAATTTTTTTTACTTTCTTTCTCACAATCCCACCAATCCTACTTTTCACTCTTTTTTTCCATTTTTCACTCCTTATATATATAAATACTCTTGTATTATCTTCGATAAAATCTTTTCATAAAATTTTATTTTATCTTAAATAAGTTTCATTGATTTAAAACTCTTTTTGAAAGTTTGCATTAATAATAAGGTCTTATAAGACTCATATTTCTAATTTCTATTTGTATTTTTTTTTTACCACTTAAAATAATTTAATTATTAAATGACAAATAATATTTACATAATAGATACTTTTATAATTTTATATTTAGATAGCTATTTTATTGAAAAACAATTTTTTATTTAAAAGATTTATGATTTTATATCATATTCATTTTTAATTGGAATAGACCTGATTTATCAACTTAATTAGACTTTACTTGCATTATAACCTAATCTTATATTGATTTTGGATTTTTAAAATAAAGAAATATATTTTAATTGATATCTCACTCAAATCTAATTAATAAAATTTTTTAAGATCCAAAATTATGAATTTGAAAAATAAACTTAAAATAAGTTGAATTTGAATAATTATAAATTTTATTTTATTTATTTAATTTTTTTTTCATCCTATCACATTTATATACTCTCATAAAATCTTAAATTTAAAACACCTCCTAAAACTCTTGCATATGATATATAAAAGTGTGGATTTATGTCTTCTTTAACCTTATAAATGAACTTATATTTGGATAAGTGTAAGTTTTACATTAAAATTAAAAGTATTTTATTTAAGATAAATTGTGACTAAAAAAAATTAAATACGGTGATTAATGTTAATTATTAGAGTACTAAAAAAATATTTATTATATAACTTTATTTATTAATATTACATTTTTAAATGATTAATTTAAAAATAAATTAATTAAAATTTATTATCTTATTAATAAATCAAGTTGGTGAATGGATGTTTATTACAATGGACTGTCAATAAATATTTTTCCCACCTGATATTATCTAGATTTAGAATAGTATTCGAGTTTTTTTAAGTTTTTCATAATAAACAATTCATAATAAAGGTTTTCCTATGTTTAGGTTTGTATGTGTAGTCCAAAACGAATATTTTTTCTATTTATCAGATGTTCTGATTATTTCGAGTGATTCAAGATATTTATCTAAAGAAATTGTTTGAAGTACTCATTCAAATATCTTGTATTGTATAGATCATGTGTGAATATCTCAAATATTTATATTTTATTACAATCGATATATACATTAACATATTATCTTAAGAAATTTAAAATGTCTATGGTTATGTTTTCACGAGGAATTTAAGATATTTTTTTTATCGAACACTTTGTACCTTATTTTAAGCATATATTTTAGTACGTCTTTTATAAAGAGAAAAAATATATAGTGATGAAAGAAGAAAATGTATGTGGGCTTCTATAGAATGTTGGCATAATTAGGTGGAGGCATAGTGATAATATGCAATATGAATCTCCGTCTTCTTCATAGATCTAACAATTTGCTGCAACTCTGCAAGTAGTTGATATAGACAGCAGAACTTGGCTTATAGAAAGAGTTTTAGAGGATTAAACATGATCTGTTCTGTTGCTATATCTGCCTCGGGATTGGGAAAGGTGCGGCTGCACATTCATCTCCAGCTTTTTCCGAGCTGTTTACAATACTCATTGCCCCAATCATCACCGACTCTATTCATTTGATTTGATGTTTGCAATAAGTTTTTAACTTTTAATCAAATTATTTCTAAATAATTCAATATCATTGCTATCTGCCTATGTATTTCTTCAATTATTTCCACTCTTTTGTCGTATTTCTGTTTTAATGTATTTATATTTATATTAGTTTTATTTTCTTACATTTGTGCATTTTCTGAAAATTTATAAGGAACATGTTCTCTAATAATTATCGAATAAGTGGTGATTTTTTTCAATTTTCAATAATTTCATATAAAAAAGAAATATCTACAATAATATATTCAAAATTGTATTCCTCAAAGTTAAATTTCCAGCTAAACATATCATCAAATCTGAAAACAAGTTCTAAATAAAAAGGAGAAAAAAAACGGTGTATATATCATCATAAATATTTTAATTAGATAGATATGGTATCCTAATATTCAACTTGAGGATACCTGTTAATAATTTTTATTTAATATTTTTATCAAATAAAGTTATTAAAACAAAATTATTGATAAGAAAAATATTAATTATTTAAATTTATATTTTATACTATAAATTATTCAAAATAATATTTTATAAAGATTAATTTATTTATATTAATATTTTATTGTTTAATTTTATTTACATTATATTTTATGATAATAGAATTATTAAAATTTTAAAGAATAAATTTTAAATTTTAAATAAAAATATTTACAAATATTCATAGATATCTATAATTATAAAAAAATTCAGAAATTTTTTAAAATAAATATTAATAAATATTTTTTTCTTAACGGAACGGACAAATATAAATAAGATTTGGAACCCTCTCCCATTACCATCCTTACACCTGAAATAAACAATTTATAAAGAATCTTCAAATGAAAAAATAATAGAGAAAAAAAATATTATTATTTGCCTTTATCTTTATTCTTTCCCTTTTGTTTGATAGTCAAAAGTCAAATTAAAAAGACAAAGGCAAGTTCTACATAAAAACATTGGTAAACAACATTAAGATCTGTCACCTTGTTAACTTTCAAACTTTAGCCAACCTGGGCATGCAGAACCTTTTGACAGCATTACTATTCAGACACTCTTAATATTTATCATCTTTTATCGTATTATATTGTCTCTAATACTTAGACTTTTATTTTATTCCTCTTTCGTAGATTCCAACAATAATTTTTGGAGCCCTAATCAGAATTTGAAATTAGGAAAGTATGGAGGGGAGGCCCTGGATGTTTGCGACACTTGTCCTTATAGCCGTTTGATTTTTGACCAAACATAAAAGCATTACAGCATAGCCGTTTGAAGCCTGCTGTAGAGGGACCACAACATGATCTGTCTAGTGTGTGGGCTGGTCCTACACACCAACCACATTTGATTCAAAGCACATAGACGTTGCCGTCTCAGACTCAAGTTAACCTAATTCTTCATTAACTTTAATTATGAATTCTTCTCTCAAATGGAGCCTATAAATTACTCACTCTTGTTTCTCTCTAACACCACAATATATAGCAAAGCAAAGCAGTTTACTTACCACCACCTCCTCTAAGAAGTATTATTATTATTATTATTCTTTTTGTGTCTGAGAAAAATGGCATGCATCAGCAAGAGCAGAGCAGTATTCTTCTTCATGGCTTTCTTTGTGGGGCTTATGTTTGCAGCTGGGGTGAAGGGGCAAACCAGTGAGTTTCCTCACGCACCAGCTCCAGCACCCACCATGGACGCTGGAGCTGGATTTTTGGTGACTTACTCTGGAGCATTTGTTTTCTCCTCACTGCTTCTATCTCTCATTGCTCTTCTATGCCATTAATTCTTAATATTGCAAGGAGTGAAGTGTATCTGCCGTATTCAATTTTTATCCTCATTCTTCATGGGAGTGCTTCTGTTGATGTCATTGCTATTGTTGTATTATCTTATTCTTTCTCCCTAATGATTGGTTAGGGTGTGATTTATTACTTGAGCTTCTCTACTAAGAAAATGAGTAAATATACGTCATTTTAGTTTTAATTTTCCATCGTCATATATTTCTTATCTTCCGGGCTTTTCAAATTGAGAAAGTGCAATGAACCGAGTAAGTGTTTAGAAGAGAAAAGAAAAGGGTCCAAGTTATGTTAGTTAATAATTAAGACAGAGAAAACACATCTGACAGCATTGAGAAATAAATGACTTAAATGGCCAGAAATGATTTCTTGGTCTGTCTGTAAAGGTGGAAAGAGAAGACACATTGAATTTTTCTGCTAACTGGAAACATGAAGTTGGTTTGACTTAAACAACATCTTTTAGGGCTAGTCCAAAATTACATCTGAGTGATATTTTCAGATGTTATATTAAACTTTGCATCTAATTATAATGGTCACACATGTCATATCATAGATGATATTTAGTACATCCAAACAACACAAGACACAAAAAAAGGAACTGGGGAGCTTATCATTGATGCATTTGTTCTCAGGTCTGGTTAACCAGAACTTGCACACTAATATTCAAGCCTAAAACCAAGTCAAGATTACAGGACTTGAAATTCTATACATAAGTGTGGGGCTGCAAATTGTTACATTTTTTAATGAAATCAGCCCAGCTCAACATGTGTTAATTCAGAACACAAAAATCTGGCCAACGAAAACTATTATTGACATCGAATTGTTTAGAAAGTACAGCATCTTATAAAAATTAATTATGAGTAAAGCAAAATTTTAGTATATGAATTACTTAAAAAAATTTATAAAAATTATTTATATGAGAACAAGTAGTATATTATTTATAAGAACTATTTATAAAAAATATTAATTTAATATAAATTACTTAAAATTCTTTTTTTATTTTAATAAAATTTATATTAAAATAATATTTTTATTTATAGAATTTTTTTAAACAATGCTATGAGAACATTTTTAAAAGAAATTCTTACAAAAGTAGTAAAATTATTATTTTGATTTGTGTCCTACATACAAAATGACTTATTAGAAAACCTTGTTTATATAAATTATTTTAACTAACTTTAAGATTATATATATATATATATATATATATATATATATATTAAAATAATATTATTTATTCATAATATTTTAAAAATATTTTTAAAGAACTTATTATTTATAAAAAATATTTATAATAAAAATAATATTGGAACAAAATCTCGTTTGTGAATTGTTTAAGATTAACAAAAGTTATTTATATAAATATTTTTATCCTCGTTTTTATAATTTTAAATAACTTTATATTAAAATAATATTTTTTTTGTTTATACTAAAATAATGTATTTTTTTTATTTTTAATTAATTATTGTAAATCATTCCCTTTTAAGGTGCTATAACTTTTATCCAATTTTAAGAACATCTTTAAATAAAATTCTTGATAATAGTAAAATTATTTTCATATAAATCTCATATACAATAATTGCTTGAAATTTTATAATTTAAACAATTTTTTTAAGAACTTTCTGATATACGTTTTATAAACAATTATGTTGAGTAAGTTCCGTCATATTTGTCCATCCCATTTTTTTTTAAACATACCATCAATTTTTTTAATTCTTTGTTCATTCCATAACTAAATCTAAAACTAAAAAAGTTGATTAATTTTTTTTTCTTTTCAGAATAAAAAAATTATAAAAAAAATACAAATTATACTATTTACAAAATTATGAATAGATAAATTATAGATTATTTCGAGTAAACAAAACAAAGTAGAAAAAAATATACTTTAAAAAAAAATCCTAACTGTTACAGCTTTTCTTTATTTAGTTAATTTGCTCTCTAAAACGTGATACAAAATAATGATTAAAAATTAAATGAATTGGAAATTCTACAAGGTAAGAAAATTATCAATAAAAAATACAAATTTTACAATGTAGAGAATTACAAGTAAATAAGTGATAAATTATTTCAAGTAACAAATTTATAAATAAAATTATTTTAAAAAAAATGTACGTTCCAATATTTTTTAGTTATGGCCACTTTTCTTAACTTAGTTCATTTGTTTCATCCTATGATAAAAAAAAATAGTCAAAAATTAATAAATGGAAAATTTGTAAAACTAACACAAATATCAGCAAAAATAATACAAATTTTGTGAGTTGCAGTACTGTTAACAAATAAAAGTATAAATTATTTCTTAAGTAACAAATTTATAGATAAAATGAAATAGAAAAAAATAATGTATTTTTTTTATTGTCGTTATTTTTTTATTAAGTTATTTTGTTAGATAAGATGATATATAAAATAATGATGGAAAAAAATTAAATAAATTGGAATTCTTTAATAAAAAACATGGGTACATATATTGTTCCATTACATGAAAAAAATAAAATAAAATTATAAACTTTCTCAAGTATAATACGAAAACACAATTAAGTTTCGGTTAAAGAACAAACATTCTAACATAAAATCATATTATATAAAATGGGGTAATCTAACGTTTATTTAAACTAGATGAGACTTTCAACACATCTTTTTTAACAAAGTATGTCGGACTAAGTAAATAATACTTTTTACCACAATAAAAAAAAGTAAATTTTGATTCAAGACAACAAAAAATTAAATTTTAACTCTAATACCATATTAAACTATGTCATATAACGTAAAACAGACCATCTTAGACTTTCAACCTATCTATTTAACAACAATTACCTTCCATCAATTTAAAACATCTGATTTTGGCAGTTTTGAGCTTTTGTTGACATCCATAAATCTTGATAGGACTGTCAAAAACCTCATGCTCAGAATAAATCTAGCAGCAAAATAATTTACAGTAGAAGCTTTGCCTATAACAGAAAATAAAAGGCCAAAAACTGTGTTCAATACAAACCAAACACTGATAGATTCTGATTAACTACCAATATCACACATTCAAAAGAGTGCTAGCAACCAAAGTCATCAAACAGAACAGTTATAAGCCTATAACTTGAAATAAAAAGACTAGAAAGATGTAACCTACTTTGTAAATTACTTTGAAATCCATAAATTGATGCAGTCTAGATTACTATGCTGATATGAAATGGAAATTTTAATTCAATTGGTTGAATGAATGAGTTAGTATACAGGCAGACAGAAATGGTACAGATGAAAGTAGTATGGAAAAACATTATTAGAGTTAGAGACAGGGTAGCATCCAAGTACACAATAGATTACATTTCAAACCATAAAATAATATGCATACAGATGATTTCCAGCTAAGTTAACTAGACGTTACAACAATCTATCAGTACAATAAGGTTGATAAATACTTGAGTTAGGTGTGCCAATGCTTCAAGAAAATTTCTATCAATTTGAAGTGATTTTGGATGTGCTTCCTCGTATTCGCTGTTGAAGCTAATGATAAATAGGAAATATAAATGTAAATCTAAATCCCATTACATAAAAATAAGAAAGTTAAATAATATAAAATATAATATAGTTGTTCTGTCAGTAAATTTTCTTAAAAGACCCAAATTAAATGACAATTTTTCTCAGCTAAAGATCACTGAATTTTATGAAAAACATACGTTAAATTATACATATTTATAGCATTACTCTACAAAAACAAAATTATGATATCAACATTATCACAACAATAATTTATAATCAAACTTTTGAAATTAGCAGTGAACAAAATACTGGACGCAACTGAATCACTAGAAAACACAATAAATTCCTTTTACATAAAACTAATCAAGAATCTCAGTCTAGACTCCTAATCGCGACGCGGCGTCGTCACATCCGATTAAGCGAACGCCTTTCTGCTGTATAACCTCAGAAAAATGCAACATCAAGGAGACAGAACTAATCGATTGAATTGAATTCAATGAGAGAGAGACTTGGTGCATAAAAAGCCGAATAATCATTAAGAAAGGAGGATCGACGAGGAAGAAAAGGAATTAGAAACGATACGAACCTTTCACTTATTCGTGTTGGGGAGGAAAGGGGCACGTGCGGAACAAAGACGAAGAAGATAGATTTTACCGCATGATATACATAGACTGAAAGATTTTTTTAGTTAACTTTTCTTAACAAATAATAAATAAATAAATAATCCTCAAAAATAATTTTTCATCTTTTATATTAATTAGATTTTTATATATTAAGATCAAGATATTATTTAGGAAATTTTATTAGGTTGATAACTCAATAATCTAATCCAACTTAATATAATTCAGGTATTGGGTTGAATTTCTTGTGATAGGATCAACTTTAACCCGCGATTCAATCTCATGAATTCAATGAAAGATTTTATACGTTGAATCGAAATATTGATTCAATTCATGTAATACAAAATATTGAATAATACTTACATTAGTAATAAATATAATAATAATATAACTGTTATTTAATTTATTTAATTATTATATTAATTAATTTATGTATTTTTAAAATATGAAATAATATAGTTTATTTTTTAAATATGTTTATAAGTTTAATAAAAATATTTTGAAATTTAAAATTTTAACATTATGTTAAGTTCTATTAGGTCTATAAAAAACATGTAAAAACGTAATCCAATAATCAAATTATACTTAATTCATTAGGTGATAAGTTTGAGAATTTAAAATTATTTTTAATAACTTTATTTTTATTTATTTAAATTTTAAAATTAGATTAAAATGTTTATATCTTTTAAAAATGAAATTAGTTACCTTAATCATACTATGATTATATATATATATATATATATATATATATATATATATATATTAAGGTATAATTGAACTTGAAATTTTTAAATTATGATTCTAATAATAATAATAATAATAATAATAATAGGATATATCTTGATTTAAATTTAAAGTAAATTTACATTTGAATTAAGAATTCTCGTTTGATTTACTTTAAG